ATTATTATTTGGACTATTGGATGTAACAGCTCCTCACAACACGATAGAACTCTCCGAAAGACCACACAGACAGACAGAGGAGTCTACACAGTGTTGACACCTGCAGTTAACACTGAACAAACAAGAACTGAGAAGATTTTCTATTTCAGTTTTGTTTTATGTAAACATGACTTTTTACACAAAATCTTTTTTCCTTTGTTATTGTTTTAAATTCAAGTTAACTTGTAATAACTCAGGTAAAATGCATTTTAATATTTTATCATATCATATTTCCTATAGCACTGCTATAGCTATTAATGATATAGCGTATATATAATTTGTATGGTGTATTTATCCTGATGATCAGGTGGTGGGGGAGAATGCTGGACAGACGTGTTCCTTGGTGGGGGTGTCGTTGATTGAGAAAAAATGAGTAGACACATGAATATGTTCCTTCACACCGTTTTTTAAGAATCTTTTTTTATTTTGTAGGTTATTTTGAATGTGTTAAAATAACATTCGGTAAAATAATGTAAAGAAGAATGAGATTCCTCAGCCGTGATGCAGTCAGAAATTAAGCAAAAGGCCTGAAATCCAGCCTTTGGGGGTATATGTAGAGTTATATGTAAGTGTTTTTGCTGATAGTTATTTCTGCTCTAATCACATCAGAAACGTAATCAAAATATAATCAAGAATTAATAAAGTCGAACAAGAAAATTATCACTACAATGAAATAATTCTAATAACCTTTCAACCCAGACTTTCTCTGTGTGTGTACTGCACAATGTCATATCTGCACTCTTTCTGTGCAGATGTCACCTTAAACGCTGTATGTGAGTGTAAAGAATAGAATGATGGAGGAAAACAATGTATTTTTGTTTAAAATAAGAAATCCTGTTGAAATAATGCTAAATCGAGTGAATTATGCTAAGTATGTGTCAATTGTAAAGAAATAGCTTTTACTAAAGGGGTGAGGGGAGGGGGGGGAAAGAGAACAACGAGGTCAGCTCAAATCGGATTTTTTCATGTGTTAAGTATTATAGCAAATAAGAGCTTAAGAATTTAGATGTCTACACAGTGTTTTGTTAGAAATGGTGACAGTGTAGAAGTTTCAAAGTAAAGGGACACTAAGTACTATGATAAGGTGGGTCATCGGTACCATGTGAGACATAAACATTGTCAGGTATCTCAGCCACGGTTGCTCTCATGGTCACTAAAACAACAAGTTATTGGGTGAAGGATGAAAGAATAGAGAAAAACATCTAGTACACGTGTAACAGAGTAGCAGCTGTACCTCTAAGCTTGAGTACTCACTTCTGGGAAGTTAGCTGTATCTGTGGTTTTCTGAACAGAAGAGATCCATGATACTTTTTAATTATTCAATGCTTTAATAAATAATAATCTTAAAAAAGTGTCTCGACTGGTGATTCCTCAAAGTTGGTAAAGAAAAATTACCAGGTTGGTACGAGGGAAACTTCTTTTGCAGTTCATCTGAAAAGATGCACTTACGCTTTGGGATCTTTTAAACATCATTAGGCACGTTGCTGCGCGCTGTCTGTCCCGTCTGTGAGCGCAGAACAACTCGCAAAGCAGCAGTTCAGGGATGATGTCACACACATGGGTCCTCTGTCGGAATATAGGAAATCACTGACATTTTTATCAATCTTGAAAATCCCCCTGGACGCCCTGGACAGAACGTGAAAAATGAAAAGAAGACGGTTGGTCACCCTAGGTAATGGCATATTAAAGATATTTTTAAACAGGCGGGAACAGAGCAATGTGACAAAGATGTGTTAAAGATGCTTGTGAAGACCTCTCTACTTCCATGGTGCAGTCTTGCTGTACTCATCCCAGTACACCATCAGGATGAGGTGCTTTCCATAAGTTGACCCTACAGAGTGTTTATTGTACTTCAGCAGTCTGCAGGACAAGTACCAGATTGTTGCTGGGTGCCCAGTCTCTAAATCCCCCACCTCATGGTGGCCAAAGAAATGGTTGTGATTTTCAGACAATTCATGATTATGCTTTGGTTCGTGATGTGCCACATTCCTTATACGTGCATGGCAAGGTCGCCCACTGGTTAGCCAACATAAAC